AGAAGAAGAAGAAGAAGAAGAAGAAGAAGAAGAAGAAGAAGAAGAAGAAGAAGAAGAAGAAGAAGAAGAAGAAGAAGAAGAAGAAACAAAAGGACTAGAGTTGCCAAACATGTGGAAAAATTGGAACCCTTGCCACACTGTTAGTAGGAATGTATAATGGTGCATCTGTTACAGCACCATGGTGCAGAAATTCCTTATAACAATTAAAAATGGATCTACCATATGATCCAGCAATTCTACTTCTGGTTATATAACCCAAAGAAATTGAAATTAGGATCTTAAAGTGATATCTGTATTCCTGTGTTCACTGTAGCATTATTCACAGTAGTTGAGAAATAAGAACTACCCAAATGCCCATGAATAGATGAAAGGATAGGAAATGATAGTTTATTCATACAATAAAATATCTAGGCTTATAAAGAAGGAAATTCTACCATGTGCAATAACAGGGATAACCTGGATAACATTGTGCTAAGTGAATTATTCTCAGTGAGACACAATATATGATTACACATATTTGAGATATCTAATATAATAAAACTCATGGAAGCATTGACTAGAAAGGCAAGTACAAGGGCACAGGGGTGGAAGACAAAAGGAACTGTCCAACAGGTATAAGGCTTCGGGTGTATGAGGTCAGTTTTAGAGATCTGCTCTGAAACAGAGCACCTAAAGTTAATAATATGTTTTTGAGCACTTAAAAATCAGTCAGGAGGCTACATCTCATATTAAGTATTCTACACACTCACACACACACACACACACACACAAACACACACACACAGAGAATGAGAGAGCCACAAGAAAATTTGTGGAGATGATGAATATGTTCATTACATTGATGGTGGTGATACTATCGCAGGCATATGTTTATGTCCAATATCAAATTGTATACACTGAACATGTACAATCTTTTATGTATAGCACTTATACTTCCATAAAGCTTATCATTTGTTCCAACTGGAATTTCCTGAAATCATACAGAATTGAATGTTCTAATATATTTCTGTGACAGGATCCTATCAAAGTATAAGAACTTCAGATATCAGGTGCCAAAATATCCGTTTAATACTTGCATATTTTAGTATCACACAGAACTAAAATTCCAAGCATTATGAACACTAGTCATTATGTGATTTATCACTTCAGGCATTTTAAATACAGGAAGTAACTTCTATACATTTATTCCCTGCTTAGTTTATATTTAAATATTCCATATTTGTTCATTGTGCATCCTATTTGCATTTGGTTGCATTTGATTTTTGTTGGATTTTCACCAAATATTATGATGAGCATTTAATAGCTTTACAGAAATCTTATTTTATGTTGTTATTGAAAACTTCCATTTTGAAAACATGCATTTTATAGAAGTACATGTCTTTCATTGTTCAGAAAAATGTCTTACAACTCATTTAATGTTTGTACTTTGGAGAATGATTTAACAGGAAGGAAATGAATAAAAGAATCAGAGGATTAGTAAATACACATTTACCTGGTACATAATACATGAAACATATTGTTTAAGCTATTAAGTATTTTTAAAAGGATGATTTTTATGCCTAATCTAATTCTCAGTCATGAAATTTTTACAATTTTTGTCATTTTATACATATGGGATGTTATTTATCAACTATTATTTTTGTTTGAAATGTAATTCTTTTCTGTTTCCAAACTCTTGTAAAATTTGTGAATTTGTGTTAATATTTGAGCTTTTAAATTGTATATATATATATATATATATATATATGCCCTTTTATCTGTGGAACAATATTTGTTCTATGTTGTAATTGATAAAAAGGGAATGCATATTAATGTTAGTTCAACAATGTACTTTATTTATTCTGTATGAGAAAGTATGGTTGTAGTTCTGTTGAAGACATAATTTGTCAATGTTTACCAGCCTGTAAAAGCCTAGTGGGAGGACTTGAACATCTAAATAAATAATGAAGTACAAAAAATAAGAGCTATTCTCTGTATTTCTTAAAAATGAAACACCCAAATTTATTGAAGTTTTCTGTTTTAACAGCCCACCTAGGACTTGATGCTGTGGAATTGGACTCTCTGAGGCAAAGTATTTTGACCTCTTTCTTTATTTCAACTTACCTGTCTTGTTTTATGTACTCTGAATGTTCAGTTCTCTGATCCTGATAGAATAATTCTATTTAGTATTTAAAATTCTTTCCAGCTTTCTGTTTCCTACTAGATAGCTTCTCTTGTTATGTCATGAAATTTACTAACCTTTTCTTTTGCAGTCTTATCTTCTTTTAACCAGCTCCATGTTTTTTCTGCATATAAGAAATTGTTTTCATAGGTAGAAGTTTGATCTGCATCTTTTTTTATATCTCTCATGCCTGTATTTAATATTTTAATAATTCAAATGCAGTTTTAATAACTTTTTAAAAATATTTTTGCTAATGCTAGCAGCTATATTGGTTCTGAGTTTGTTTTGATATATTTCTCGTGTGTTGTTTTACACACTTTTTTATGTCTGCTTGATTTTCAATATTTAGTATGAATTTTACTTCATAGAATGCTGAACATTTCTGTGTTCTTTTAGATCCTGAGCTTTATTCAGAAATGCAGTTACTTGGAAATACTTTTATCTTTGCTAACCCTCCTCTTAACACTTGTTTAGTCAGGGCTTCAACCCGTATGATTTCCCCGTACTGACGCAAGACACATCTGACTGCTTTACCACAGCTCTGTAAAGTGTGGCATCTTCCTGTCTGGCACTAATTGACACAATCCTTTTCACTTTTGAATGCCACATCCTGTTACCTCTAATCCTTTCAGCTGGTTCTTTCCCAGCCCTGGAAAGTTTTCTTACAGGTATACTCTAATCCATTCTCTGCTGAAAAGTGGAGGGTGAAGTTTTCAGAACTCAGAAGTTGTGTATGCTGGTCTCTCCTCTCTTCCTTCCTGTAAACCATAGCTGCTTTATTTTCTGAATTCTCACCTTCATTTCAATTCAAGTTATTCTGATAAAGTGACTAACTATCCTTGCTACCCCCATGTTGGGGAGAAGGGTATTGTGGGGTTCAGGTCTTTCACTTTTTAGACTGGAAAAGTCCCAGGCAAATTGGAGCCTCCCTCCTGTCAGGCTGTCCCTTGTTTCACCCTTCTTCTGGTTCTGCAGCCCAGGAAATCTCAAGACACTGACCTGCAACGACTATTGAGCTTAACTGTTTGTTTCCATTGTCCTTCATTGCCTGATAACAAGTGTTTTAAAAATCATTGTCTCAAATACTGTATTTTGTCTTTCTTTCTTTCTTTCTTTCTTTCTTTCTTTCTTTCTTTCTTTCTTTCTTTTTCTTTCTTTCTTTCTTTCCCTCTCTCTCTCTCTCTCTCTCTCTCTCTCTTTCTTTCTTGGTCCTTTGATTCTTTTAAATGGAATGGTAAAATCTTCATTTTTGTCTGGAAGCAAAACTCATTCTCTTTTGATTCTACTCTTTCAGGCCTTTTCCCCTACTTCTTTCCTGAAAGGGTTGTAATCAAAATCACCAATAGGTTGCAAACTTTAGGATCCAGCAGTCAGTTTTCTCATTTCTTTTTACTTTACCAAACAGATGATGTAGTTAACAGCAACATCTTTTCACTTTGTTACTTGGATACAATTCCCTTGGTTTCCTTTTAACAAGTAACTCCTTTTTCAGTCTCCTTTGCTGAATCATACTTGTATTTTCAAGCCCTAAATTTTGCAGTGCCCTGGGGCTTAGTCCTAGGACATCTGCACTCTGTATACTCATTCCTTAGGTGATTTCATCAAGTCTTGGAGCTTTATTTTTAATTTATTAGCCCTCCATCCTTACATACCCACTATCTACTCAAAATTTACATATAAAGAAGGCATCTCAAATAATATTTTCAAAACTGAACTCGTAATTCCCCCTGCCTCAAGCCAACATTTTTAGTCTCATCTCTTTCTTCTGCTTGCTTATGCACTCTGAAGACTGTTTCTACACACCTAATCAATCAGCAAGTCTACTTAGTTTTACCTTCTTACTTCTTTTACTTTCTTCCATTGTAATTCAAGTTATCACCCAGATCACTGAACAGATCCCTGAGCTTATCTCTCTGCTCACACTCCAGGCCCCCTAAGATTTATTTTTCAAGAGGCCTCAAAATTATTAATTTCAAAATATAAATTAGTTTCTACCACTCCTCTGCTTAAAATGCTGCTACAGTGCTTTCTAGCCAACTGATTGAGATACAGTCCTTGCTTTGAGTTTCAAGACATTATTGACAAGACCCAGTGTATCTAGGGCTACCATCCTTTCTTTGTAGTTCTCCTACAGCAGCTTTCTGTTTTACTTCAAATGCAGAAAGTGCACTTCTTCCTCCAGGTCTTTGACTACTGGAACTTACTGTTCTTTCTTCATACAACACTCACTTCTGAGTTAGCTCCTTCTATTATTTTCTACAGGTCTCAGCTCAAATGTTACCTTATCACAGAGATTTCCTCTTATCAGTTATCACCACAGCTTTTGCCACCTCCAGTAATTATTTTATCATACTCCATGTTCTTGGTAGCACAGGACATTATATGATGTGTTCAATACCTATCAGTTTCCTTGTTTGTGTTGCACCAGAAGTTCCAAAAAGGCAGTGATTTTTTTTTTGCAGATAGAATCCTATTGTTGGCACACAATAGTTATTCAATAAATATTTGCTGTGTTAGTGAAAGAATGATAATTTGCAGTTACAAACATTTCTGATGCATGGCATTAAACAGTATGGTGCTACAAAGTGAGACTTGATTACCAAGGTAATTTTCATGTTGTAAGGAGAATTATTCTTCCAAGGATCTC